AGCTTTTCATCCACCAAGACCCCCACATCCTTCTCAGCAGGGCAGCTCTCAATCCTTCATCCCCCAGCCTGTATTGATACAGGGGGTTGCCCCGATCCAGGTGCAGGACCCTGCACTTGGCCTTGTTGAACCTCATGAGGTTCACAAAGGCCCATTCCTTGAGCTTGTCCAGGTCCCTCTGGATGGCATCCCATCCCTCAGGCGTGTCAACCGCACCACTCAGCTTGCTGTCGTCTGCAAACTAGCTGAGGGTGCATCGATCCCACTGTCTATGTCACTGATGAAGATATGAAACAGCCCTGGTCCCCACAGACCCCTGTGAGTCCCCACTCATCACTGATGTCAATCAATCTGGACATTGAGCCATTGACCACTACCCACTGGGTACGACCATCCAACCAGTTCCTCATCCACCCAACAGTCGACCCATCAAATCCATCTCTCTCCAATTCAGACAGAAGGATATTTTCAGGGACTGTGTCAAAGGCCTCACAGAAGTCCAGACAGACAACATGTGTAGCTCTTCCCTTGTCCACTGATGTGGTTACTCCACCATAGAAGGCCACTAGGCTGGTCAGGCAGGACTTGCCCTTGGTGAAGCCATGCTGGCTGTCTTGAATCACCTCCCTGTCCTCCATGTGCCTTAGCATAGCTTCTAGGAGCATCTGTTCCATGATCTCCCCAGGCAGAGAGGTGAGGCTGACGGGTCAGTAGTTCCTAGGGTCCTCCTTTCGACCCTTTTTAAAAATGCGTGCAATGTTTCCCTTCTACCAGTCTCCAGGGACTTCACCTGACTGCCAGGACTTTTCAGATATCATAGAGAGTGGCTTGGCAACTGCATCAGCTAATTCCTCAGGACTCTGGGATGCACCTCATAAGGTCCCATACTTGTGGATGTTCAGGTTCCCCAGGTGGTCTCAAACCTGATGTTCTCTTACAGTGGGAGGGACTTTGCTCCTCCAGTTCCTGTCTTGTGGTCCATCCACTCAAGAGGTGTGGGAAGAGAGACTGCCAGTGAAGACTGAGGCAAAGAAGTTACTGAGTACCTCAGTCTTCTCCTCATCTATTGTTACCAGTTTGCCAGTCCTGCTCATCAAGAGGGGCACACTTTCTTTGACCTTCCATTTCTGGCTGACATACCTGTAGAAGCCCTTATTATTCTTTGCCTCCCTTGCCAAGTTCAGCTCCAGCCACACCCTGGCCTTCCTGACCTCATCCCTACACAACTGGGCAGCATCCCTGTACTCTTCCCAGGATACCTGTCCCTGCTTCCCCTGCCTGTGCATTTCCTTCTTGCCCTTTAGTTTGCCCAGCAGGTATCCACTCAGCCATGCTGGTTTCTTGCCTTCCTTCCCTGATTTCTTACACCTGAAGATCAAGAGCTCTTGCGCTCTATGGAAAGCATCCTTAAAGATTTGGCAGCTCTGTTCTGCTCCCTTGTCCCTGTCGGCAGTTTCCCAGGGGGTCCTATTGGCTAACTCGCTGAAGAGCTGGAAATTTGCTTTCCTAAAATTTAAGGTCCTGACTTTATTCTTCATCTGCCCCATATTCCTCAGGACTGCAAACTCCACAAGAGCATGATCACTGCAGCCCAGTCTGCCTCCAATTTTCATGTCACCAATTAGCTCACTTGTGTTGGTGACCAACATGTCCAGTATCAGATCCTCTCTGGTAGGGCTGTCTCTTACCTGGCTTAAGAAGTTATCCTCAAGGCATTCCAGGAATCTCCTAGACTGCCTACAGCTCATCGTGCTACTTTTCCAGCATATGTCAGGGTGATTGAAGTCCCCCAGCAGGACAAGAGCCTGTAAGCGCGATGCCTCCTATAGCTGGAGTAAGAAGCCTTCATCAATAGGCTCCCCTTGATGACACAGCCTGTAGTAGACACCAACCACAAGGTTCCCTTTGTTGCCTTGATCCCTGATTCTTACCCATAAACTTTCAACCTGCTCGATGCTATTCTTCAGAGACAGCTCTTCACACTCGATCCATTTCTTGATGTAGAAGGCAATGCCTCCATCCCTCCTTCCTCACCTGTGCCTTCTGAATAGCCTGGAGCCATCAATAGCTGCACTCCAGTCATGGGATTCATCCCAACAAGTTTCAGTAATGGCAACAGAGTTGTAGCTTTCTAGCAGCACGGAGTCATAGCTTTCAAGCAGCACGGTGGCTTCCAATTCCTCCTGTTTGCTGCCCAAACTGCATGCATTGCTGTAGGTCTTGGATAGAAAATCCCTGCCTTTAAAAAGCATTTCACTTTCAACTCATTTGAAAAGCAAAACAAACAGGATTTTCTCTATCCCTCAATGGAGAACAAGGGGCTTTTCCTGTGAGCTAAAGGAGGGAATGTTACATTCATTGGAAAGGCACTCCCAGTACAGGATGATCCCCTCCTGCCTAATTCACCAATTTATTCTGTTTCTCCCTCTTGTAGTCTGGTCTATTTCTCCCTTTTCTTGCAGTCTGGAAAGCATACAACCAACCCCCTTTGCTGTTCACACTATCTGGTTGCTTTGTGCCCCCTTCTTTTACAGTACTGTGTCCCTTTTGCCAGCAGAGTGCCATAACAGAGATGAAGAACTAGGCAGAGCACACTCTAAAAGCAGAGCAGAGCACACTCTTATTCCTAATACAATAAGAAAAAGTCAAGGGAAAACTCTCAGGCAAGGCCTAAGCAAGTTCTATTATTTGTGCTTTCTTTTTTTGCTCACCATGAGATGCTTCTTTCCCCCAGAAAACATTAGTAAGGCCTTATCTGCATTCCACTTTAGTCAACAGATGGTGCCCAAGTCCAGAACAATGGCAGATTCAGCCAATACACAACATCCAGGCAATCAGATGACAGGAAGCCAGTGAGATGGCAGCAAACAGCACTGCCACACCAGGACACCACTTCCACACCACACTTCACAGTACACACTGAAGAGCAGACTAAAGGCAACAGCTTTCAAAAAGCAAAGTCCTTCCAGCCTAGGGGATTTAGGTCAATGCTTCTGTGCTATCAAGACACCGATCACAAACAATAATACATGGTCAACATACAGCAGAGAACATCTATTGTCCAAGAAATGGCAACTATCAACAGCTACATAGTCTTGACTATCACTATCAGACTACAACTCACTTTGACTCAGAACTGTAGATCTCCATAAATATCATCTATGGATATCCACAACTGAAGAAATACATTAGAAGCCATTTTTGGAATCAGATTTTCACCTAAATCCAGACAGAAATGGAAATAAATGAAACCCCTGATGTTGTCCACTTTCAGAAGCTCACAAGATTCACAGTTTGCCTGTGCACCAGCAATGGGGAGATCCCAGTCGTACAAAGAACGACTTTAACAAAGAGCTCCTCACATTCACAAACAATACTGTTGGCAGAAAGTGGAGTCATTCACACATTTTCATTAGGGGTATCTTTACATAACCAAGACTTTTCTGGCCCTTTTCTGCAATTCTACCCCTTTTAAGGACTTCTTGGGGCTGGAATAAGTACCCAGGTAATATGACAATGCATTAAGAAAGGGAAAGACAAAATTAGCCTACGTTAATCTTACTCAATAGTTGTCTGGTCCAAAACTCCTGTTACTGGGATCCCATAAAACTGTTGCATAGTGGCAACTGCAGACTGCACAGCTTTCCCCGACTGCAAGGCAGACATTTGGCTGTCAGATGGAAGTAAGTAGCCATAGGTTTTTAACCAACCCTGAAAAAGAAAGAAACAGATAGTAAGATGCCACGGTAAGTTTTCAACTTAACAGATCAGAACACTTCCTCAAAACAAAAAGTGACAAACTAGCCCAAAAAATTCAACCACCTCTCTTTTGGTAGGTTTGGTAATATCATCTGCTCCCTGGGAAAGGCTGAAGACCCAGCTTAATATCACCTGTCCCAGCCTGGCAACCTAAGAGACCTCTCTGCACGGCCCAAACACACCGTAGTATTCAGGACAGACCCCTTCACACTGGGATGATGCCACCATTTGCTTTCAGTGGAGGTAACTTCACTGAAGCTAGTAATTTGGGCCAGTCAAGCAGCGCTGAGGTCCCCAGGGTGATGGAGGCATGCAGACCTGCCTATTAAAAACAGCCGCCATCCCTACTGAGTAACTGGGGCAGACATCAGAAATGCCCAAGAAGCCCTGTCCTTGTTCCAGACACCTCCTGTGCACTCTGTCGCCTTGCAACTGTGAGATTTCTCAGTCCCCACAGCAGCATGCTCCCAATAACCCACTGCCGACCACCTACTGCTGCCTCTGGACCACCACTCCAAGCAAACAGCTTAACGGCCCTGGGCAACCCCTGCAAACACAGGTTCAGCTTTACACTTGCACTAAGCACAGGAGTATTTCTTTCAAAAAAAGAAACAAAACAACCAAAAAACACACTCAGAAGGTTTGCAGGGACTCTGGTTAGATGCACTTTTCCTCTACTAATAGCAGGTATCTAGCAAATTGTCAGAACAGGAAAATAGCCAACTCTCCTCAAGGACCTTTGTCCCTTTTCCCCGCCACCCTCACAAAATGTAGCCCTAGATAAAACCACATGTCAAATGGGTCAAAAGGCTAAGAACAGCATTTTCAAAAACGCCCATTAATTCAGGATTTTTTTTTGCCTCCCCTCTCTTCCCGCCCCGCCCCTTCACTTTGATACCGCAAGAAAAAGGATTAATTCGCTGTTATGAGCAAATGCCAATAAAACCCGAATGAACGCTTGCTTTCATAAACTTTTCACCATAACTTTTCAACTTTTTTCACTTTCTTTCTTCTGGCCAACACCCCAGCCCTCCGATTCAATACTTAGACAAGGATTACTATGAGATCGACATATATCCTCTAAGATTTTTCCAGCCATGAGGACATTCCCTCTGACCCACAGGACACACAAACACTGACGAACCATCTGTGCGCGCTGCTCTCACACTGGCAGCCTGATCACTCAGAGCAGCGGGGAGAGGAGAGGCACGACTTTCCCTCAGCATAACACAGCAGCGGGAGAGAGGCTCATGTCAGGAGGAGCACAAGAGGGAGAACAATCCCCATTTCTCTGTGACAACAAGAAGATACCAGAATCCACTGGCAAGACAGAAAGGCCTTGCTTCCAAACCAGGAGAAAAAAGGTGTAAGGCAGCATCTGGGCCGGGCACGTTAAAGTTCACCAAGTCAATGGACATACAGAGCTATTCAACACAGACATCACCAATGACTCAAGACAAACCTGAGCTACAAAACTACTTGGAGACTGGACATTTGCTACCACTGCCTTGGCACTTAGCACTGGCCTCTGACAAACAGCGTGCTGGAACACGCGGACCTTCGGTCTGACCAAAACAAGCTGTCCTTGAGCAGCAAGGGCAGAGCATGCTAACCAAAACAGTTCTGACAGGGGCTGGGCTACCCTCGCGTATCCCCTTCCCCCCCGGCCAGGCTCGGACGCGGCAGCGGGCGAAGGAAAGGGCCACGACACAATGCACACGCTCCAACCAAAGCTCCTGCCGGGAGGCTGATGCTCAGCAGCACACAGGAGGGGCAC